TTCTTAATCTATTAATCATTAATTCTTCAATCATTAATCTATTAATCATCAATCTATTAATCAGCAAATCTGAAAAATATTAATGAACTCTTCACATTCTTACTTCTACCTCTGAAACTTCTGAATCTTTGATACTGACGCGGAACAGCATATATGCAATAATTGAATATGTTTTCTATTCTTTACATCTGTGAATGAGAATGCAGAAGTCTATACAGATGATTTCAGCACTAAAGTTGAAGGTTATGAAACTGTTAGAATAATCATGATAAATGAAGCAGATAAGCAGTTCAATGTCAATCTCATCAACACAGCTTACATTCTGAATTTTCATACAAATATCATCACATGAAAACCATGTTTTCATATAGAAGACATCTATTATAATGAAAAGAACTTCAGATTGTGAAAACACACAGATAATACAATCTTTGCATGTGTTGAAGTATTTGAGAAGTTGCTAGTTACAGAATATAGTGAAATAGCTGTTTTCTCAACTATCTCAGAAAAATTCACTACTGAAGCTGATACAGCTATCACATCACACACATTTAACATCACTATATCTGAAAAAATGATATCTTCAAATTCTTCAACTTCTACAAATTCTTCTTCTAATCTGTTAAAACACACTTTAATAAATCATTCTTTCAACCTGTTAATATGTACAAAATCTTCTTAAGAACCTAAGATCTCTATAGCTACTCAGTTTACATGACATAAGAGATTAGAACATTCATTGAAAATCATCATTTAAAAGCTTGTAAATGATGCAACTGGCATTTAAATTATCAATCTAGAAGACACTGCAAATGAGCTTATCACTGAGCTTTACAAACTCTGTCATCTATCTAATACAAAAAATCAAATATCTAGATATTTTCATATTAGATCTCAAATACCATTCAAACACCTACATGCGGATATTACAAACGGCTGTACACAGTGCTATAATGATGAGTGTTATCTCATATATTTCATGTGTGATTATCTACATTTTCATATAGCTATAACAGCTATCTGAAAATCAGAAATCTGAAAAGCTCTTAGATAAGCTATTAATTGAATTAAACATTAATTCAACTATACTATAAAGATTATTTGTATTGACAATGATACTGCAATTAAGAAAGCAGATGAATTCATAAATTAAGTGAATAATGAAGATCTAGAGATGAAGTATTCTTCAGAGTATATTCATGAGCAAAATGATGCAGCAGAGTGAGTAGAAGTAATATTAATAACAAAGACAAGAACTCTACAGATAGAATTTCTTCTATTATAATTACTTTTCTCTGAGATTGCACTTACTGTCATCTATCTAGTGAATTGAACCTCTACTAGAATTCTAGATTGAAAGTCATCTCTACAAGTATTGAAAGAATTTCTATGAATTAAATCTCACTTCTATGCTTATCTTCAAATCTACAGATATCACATCTATGCAAAGATACTGAATGAAGTTCTTAATAGAAACCGCTCTCAAAAGCTAGATTCTCAAGCATATATTAAATATCTAGTTAAATATGATTCTACAAACATCTATTGAATTTGAATTCCACACTTAGAACAGGTGATAAGAGTAAGAGATGTGATATTTGATGAGAATAGAAAATTCAACTCAGAAGATCTCTACATTAAAAGATAACTAAGAGATTGAGTATCTAAGAAGGTGAAGCTTCTATATATGAAAGTTTGAGAATCATCAATGACTTCTATCAATCAATTGAAAGAGATTATAGATACAGATATTGATGTTTTTCATCCTGAAGAAAATGCTCAAAGCTCTGAAAAAATAGAGAAGAAAAATAATGTTTCAATTCTTTCTATATCAGATTCAATGCCAGAGTCAACAGATTCTGATGTTGATATTAATACTCATTCAGCTGTGATAGATAATTGAATATAAAACATTGCATCTAGAGCTCATGATATCAGTGCTGACTTTGATAAAGTAAATATCATTGATGACTGCAGAATATGAAAACACAGAGCTGCTCATCTTGTAACAGTTGAAAATGTCAAAGACAATTCTTATCAAATGATCAATGAAGCATTCTCTCATTCAAATTCACATACAGACTTCAATAAGTTTTAAAATTTATTTTCTAATACTGTTTTCACAGTTATTAACAATACAGCTATATTAACAGTATTCATACTAACTTTAAGAATTCATAGATCTCAACTGTCAGATTCACTGAATCACTGAGCAGATATTGAAAAACACTCACATTGTGAAGAATTTGAGAATGCTGTTAAGTGAGAATGAAATAGTATATCTCTGCAGAATACATATGAAATTACTAGTAGATTATAGAGAGATGTCTCAATTATTTCTCTATAATAAGTATTTATCTACAAATTTGATGATGAAGATTTTCTTTTGAAATACAAAGCTTGTATCTATGTATATAAAGATCTTCAATCAATTACAGATCTCATTATAAAAGCTTACACACTAGCTGTCAGAGATCTCTGAATCTTGTTAACTTTAACAGCAGTATTTAATCTAGATGCAGAATAGTTAGATGAAATCAATATCTTCATTAATAGTGATATTGATGAGCTAGTATATATGAAACTATCTAATAAATGATAAAAGTTGAAGAAGATGTAAAATTTGAAGTGTATAAATCATGTATTAAAACTTCTATAAGTACTATATAAATTACACAGATCACTTCTTCTCTGATTAAATGAACTATTTTCAATATTGAGAATATTAGACTTTATCTCTATATCAGAGAATTGATATCTCTTCTCTAATAATTAATTAATCATCTTCTTTTATATAAATGATATTATCATTCTATCACAATGAGAAGATTTGAAAGAAAGAGATTAACTAATCAAAGATCTTAAAAACATCTATAAGATCTGATAGATGAGAGATTTGAAATGATTTCTTAATATGTGAATAATATATAATCATCTCAACTTAAAGCTCTGACTATATTAGAATATTTATATTGATAAGATAGTTAATATATATCATCTTATACACATCTGTAAGATATATATCTTACTAACTGATACTCTGTTAGAGTCTTTTAATAAGGCAGTTATATTTATAAAAATTCATTATTATCAATAATATATTGACTTCTGTATCTACTCAGCAGTGATAACTCACTCTGATATTATATATGCAGTGAGTAAACTAGCTATATTTATAATGAATTCATTGAAACATTACTTATCAGAGATGAATAGAATGATATCTTATTTACATAATATAAAGAATCTTGCTATTCAATATAATGATAACATTGACAGATCTCTACAACTTGATCTCAAACCTGATATTATTGAAGCTATTAGTGATGTCTCTTTCACAGATAATTCAGATTACTGCTCTATATAAGAATAGACTGACTGTGTGACCGTGTCTGAGACCAGGACCAGATTTTTTGATAGTCTCATTATCAATTCAACTGATCTCATTACACAGTTTTAACATTAGATAGTAGTCTCATACTGTCTCAGTGAGACTTACTGTCTACTCTTGTCACATTTTCCAAATGAGATCATGATTTCCACTTCTCAATTTAAATTATTTTTATTGCTTTAAATGACTTTAAATCTCATTTGAGTGTTATCAAAAAGTGTTACTTTTTAAAAAATTAAAAATAGTCTAAAAAAAACCTTAAAATGTCTAAAAATAGTAACTTTATGTCAAGAATGAGACTAAATGAAACCAAATGAGACCACTTTCTTATTTTTTTCAAGTCATGGTTTCATTTTAAGATCTGATATATAGTCACTTTACATGTTTTTTTGATAGTCAGTCCCAGCGGGATTCACGCCAAGAAATGTATGGGACCAGATCAAATGAAATCAAATGTGAAATTCATGGTTCCGGCGGCCAGTCTATATAAGAATATATCTTCAAACTATTCAGTGAGACTGTTGATTGAAAATCAAATAGATAGATAATTATAACTATATCTATTACAGAAGCTGAGCTTGTAGCTATCTTACAAGCTGATAAGAAGTCTATCTAATAAAATAGATTCTTTCAATATATTTAATTTGAATCTAATCACAAGATCTGTATTCAATGTGATAACTGTCAAACTGTTGATATTCTTATGAAGAAAGATTCCTCTATAATCACAGAGCTCTGTCATATTGATATATATGAAAGCTGGCTCTGAGAATGTATTCAATTCAGTGATATTACAGTTGATTGAGTGTCTACAGCTCAGATGCCAGTGAATGGCCTCACTAAGGCTCTGCTATGCCAGAAACATACAGAATTCATCAAGATGCTAGGCCTAGTTGATATATCAGATATCATCAAGGTGTAAGCAGAATGATGATATAAATAATCTATCTTAATATAATCTCTACAGATTCATCTACACTCTTTTTGTTGCAGCTTCATTTACACTTTCATTTACACTTTCATTTACATGTTACATTCACTGAAGGGGGTGTGTCAGGAAAAAGAGATTATACACTACTGAACACCACCAACATTGTATTACTATAATATTTCTCATCATCATCAGCTTACTACAACACTCATCTAATACTTGCTTATGCTAGCTCTCTTGGCTCGCACATATATTTTACTATAAATAGCTCTATCTTTTGTATGAAATAGATATATAAGATAGTGCATGGATAATATAACAAGCAGATCTTGATACACATAAGATTCATATGTCTCCAACATATTCATCCGTGACACCCAATCCGACAGCCTGTCACGGGCCTATTTGTCCGACGCTGCGTGTATCTTGCGTTCTTTGGAAAGGTTTCCCAACCTGCTGCAAGCGGGCTGGAGGAGTCTGTCACGGGCGATATTCTAGATATCCCGCCATCATCAGCCGAAGAGAGTGCTCCCATGAGTGAAAATTGTCGGGTAAGCAGCAGGATTCAGATACGGTGGATGAGAGCGGCCGCGAGGCAAAGTGTTGGAAGCGCGCGAGCCAAGATATACAAGCAAAGAAACTAGAGCACCGAGAACAGCGCCAGAGAAGAAAAGAGAGGCGGGAAAAGCAAGATGGAGACCTAGGAATACCACTTAGGACAATATTTTTTTATAGCTCTTCCTCTTCCTCCGCTAGTTGATTCTCGAGTCTTGGGTCCTCGCACGCCCTAGATTTCAGCCGTTTTCGAATGTCCAACACCTGAGACGCAGACGCCACCATGTTCTCATCGACGTTCAACTCCCCGCCAATTGCCATGAAGACGGTGTTCGTGCCATCTTCGATCGCCGCATCCAAGCACTGTGTTTTTTTAATCAAGTTGTTATGCATATACAGATCCGCATATATCCGGTAGTTATCTAAGACAGCAATTTTGTGAAATATAGTGATTCAAGAAAGTCGACTTGAAACCAATTGCTTCATGTATCTGCAAATCTCTCGAGTTAGGCTACTTGGGTTTCTTCATGTCTTGAAATCTGATATCTATCGGTATTCTCTCAAGTCACCCAAAAGCATGGCTTTCGGAAAAATGCATGGCGTATGGGATTGTCCCAAGGAACCCTACTAGCATGCTTTGATCTTATTTCCCCAGGACATCGGTTATCAGAAATTATAGTAGTTTGTTTGGCTGAGATGTTCATTGTTTTATACAAGTCTCAAGCTGGAAGGAATCAAACAGGATAATTAGGGTAGAGCCGCATATCCCTGGGGCATTTCTGGGATATAGAGCACACATATCGGATAAACCCATTGCGAGCAATACCTGGGGCATTGCTAATTTGTAGAGCGCACATAGATAAATGAAATCATGCGTGCAATCCCTGGGACATTTCCGGGATGTATATCAAATGAAGTTATGCGTGCCATTCCTGAGAAAAGTAGGTTAGTCATGCTGATTTTTTCATCTAAAGTGTGAAAAGCGTATATCCTCGGGGGGTTTGAGTCCTTGGGGATTGCCATAGAGCGAGAAAGTATAACACTAATCCGGGGGGCATGCTGTTGGCTCAGGGAATGTTGCACTTTTTGCAGAGTAATCATCTTTCTTGGGGCATTCTATTCACTCAGGACACGCCACATGTTTTGCGCGACAATTAGTTTTCCTGGGGCATCACCATCCTCGGGGGAGTTCTATCCTGAGGAATACCCCGTATATCAACCGAAATGTGTGAATCTCAGGACAAAACTCCACCTTGGGACAAATTTTGACCCAGGGCATACTGTCCCTCAAGGATTAAAATTTCCCAGGGAATGTGCAGATGACCATGCTTTTGTTCTGAAAGCCATGTATTTAAGTCTTTGCCTCGGGAAATTCAATTTACCAGGCATAGCCATATGTTTCGAAGAAAATATCCAGTGCCCCAGGGATCATCACAGAATTTTTTCGGGGTTGTCTTGACCAGGGATGGCTATGCATTCCAACAAACGGTCACATATCTGGACCCTGTTCAAAGAAAGGTTGAGATACGTGAACTGGCCAGGACTTACCATGTATGAATCCCATGGCAGAAGGAATCGGTTCCGGCCCAGGGATAACCACACTATGTTTCCTTTTTTGCGGGATCTTGTACGATGGTCACTTGGTTTCTCAAAACGTTGAGGCTCTTCTGTGCGGCCGTGATGTTGGCCGTAATCAAAGTTTCGAGAACGTTGGCACATCGAAGCTTCTACAAGAGCCGACGGACTCAAATGGGCTTATCGGTCTTCTATCCGAGTCAGGATTTCTTCCGGGAAATCTGTGTCATTAGCCATCGCTTGCTGTTGCACTTCTGCATTTTGGCTGGATGTTAGGGAAAGAAGTGAAGAAATTCCTGTTTTTTGACACTCATTCAGAATCGATGGCCATATTTATGCGTGGCCTCCATCTTGTCTGATCGCTCATCTGGTTATCCTCCACCAAAGGGATCATCATCCTCCCCACTAATGAACCGCGCATTTTACCTGTCGTCATCGATCACTCGCCTCAGGGGCGATTGGTGGATTCACTATAGTACCAACCCTAACTAGTTCAACGTGAACCTGTTAGAGCTGTATTTCTCAGATCTGGACCCTACGACGGTCTTCCGGCGTTAAACAATGCAACAACAAGAAGTTAGGACTGCATTCCATGTGATGTTATTATGGCGAGATTGCTAATAACCAGCAATGTCTCTTGATTTCTGAACATTGTGCCATAAGACTCATAGTGCCTGTGGACATCTTGTGGGTAGACAGCTCCACACTGGGCACCGATCTCCCTCTTCAACCCAAGTTTTTCTATGACGCTGCATGCTTCCGAGAAACTGGATTAAACTTTGGCTATGGACCCCAAAATAGACTACCTGAAAATCAACGGCCCCACCAGTCGACCATCAGGGTGATTATCACCCTTGAAATCGGGGCCTGTGCTTTATTAGAGTTAGCGCTCATACACTGCGGGTCAGGCCACACATTTCACGGGGCCACGCATTTTGATCCTTGTCGGTATTAAATTTAGATCGAAATGTATGAAGTCTATCTTTGAGACCAGCTCTTTTCTCTAACTATAAAAGGACACATTCTCTCCTGCTATCAAGTTATGCCAGCCTACAACCTCATCCATGAAAACAGACATGTCACCATCGGATCCCGAGAAGTCTTCAAGTCAATGGACAGAGAGAGACAGCCTTGTCCAAGCGCGAAATCGAACAAAGAGAACATTAATAAATAAAGCGTATGAATACTTTCAAAAATGCAAGGCCGACGTTTATCTCTACATCCACTATGAAAACAAGTATTTTATTGCAGAATTCTTCAGGGATTCTAATACTACCAGCTTTCAACTCTTGAATGAGTCGCTGGTATGTCAGAATTTAATCCCATATATTTATTGTCTTGCTAAGTTAAATAGAAGAAAGTTTACCCACCCCCGGTACGAACAACATCCGAAAACCTTCCAAAAATAGTCAAAGATAGGAATAGAGTCCAAAAAAATAAGCGAGGGGAGAACTGATAGGTATATATTGTGAGCAGCTTTAATTCCAGCCAATCAATGAGGGCAACAGTTGAAAGTTTAAATTATCCAATCATATACACTGAATTCCTCATCGTTCCTAAAAGCGCTTTTTCTACTTTTCTATAGAGCACCCTCTAAAAATAACTCTGGCCATATGGTCCCTTAGGCCCTGTGGCCCTTTATGCCATGGGGCCTCCCATAATTAAGCAGACGTACCCCTTTGCTTCTTATTGGAAGGAGTGGTTATGACGCTGGGTATCTGATTCAACGGCAGTGGAAGGAGTTGGCTCTGGAGTCGACTGACATGTTTGGAGGACGGCTTCTTGTGTACTTCCAGTACATCTATCGTCTAAAATTTGATAAAACCTCTTCTTTTTCCTCTCTTCATTTTTAGTAGGACTAATACATATTGGTTCTGGGAAGAAGACATAAATGTTGGCATAGGTCCCTATTCATTTCAGACCATTAGTTATGGGACATATCCAGTCCCATATCCGTACAAAATACAGACCCAAGAATACAGGTCAGATTAGGGCACATGGTATCCAGCCTGGATCGGTTGAGCTGTGCCGACAGGCCTGGCTTCATGGAAAGATGACCCTCAATGCGCCAAGTCTATATCACATGGTTCGCCTTGGAGGGGTAACAATGGCATCATAGGAAAGAAGTCAAAGTTCGTTAGGAAGCAGCTGGTTGTGTATTTGGGAGACAACGAGAGAAAATAGCAGCATCATCTCGCTTTCTCTTCTTTGAAACTCTCTTGCTCAAGAGACGCTTTTGGGATGAGATTCTTGCTCGGTCGAAATCTATAATCATCGCGCCTTTATTCTCCGCATTCCAAAATATATTACCGTCGTGCGCGTCACAATGTCGAATCCCAAGACCATGAATATCCAGTAGAGCCTCTCGAATGCTTTGAGATATACCCAGACCTTCATGTAACCTAATGGGCCTCCCTGCATGACTGAGAAAGAGTAGATAACCAATTCTTGCAATACCGTCGTAATATAGCGGACGGCTGGATATATCCACACTTCCCAGACAAACAGGAACACGTTTACCCTGAATAGATCGCAGGCTTCGATATACCTTTTCTTCATGCAGGGAATATCCAAACTCAACAGGGGTTCCTTTCGCCACAAAGCTATAACCGTGCATGAAGTGAGTAAACGAGAACAGAGCGGCGGAAAGTCCGTGCTTGTGCATTGATTCGCAACCGAAAGGGCCATCATCTTTTCTCAGAATCTGCGCGCGAGCTGACTCCAGCAACTCTTGCTGATTAATAGCATGCCGCTTACCACCTCCATGACTTGCCACATTCGGACATTTTTTATCGAGAAGACCGCCTCTTATCAAGCCCAGGAGACACTTCTGTGTGCAGTATTTCTGTCCACTTGATTGTGTATTGCTGCCCCCTTGGCCTGGTTTCGGGGGAGGCATGACGACCATGATATTTGAGGGGCGGCCCGTAAGTCGCGTGCTTGGACTGTCGGGATCGTATCCGCCATTCCCACTGCTGTCATCGTCGCTGGTCTCCCAGTTTGTTGACGTTTCGGCGGGACGACATGAAGAGCTGGCGGCTAGACCCTTCAGTCGTGTCTTGACTGGTGAGATGCGTATATATTCATTTCTGCTCCATCGATTCTGCTTGTAATCGGACAGCTTCTCGCTGCTTTTTTCTAGATCTGATTCAAGAATATCGTCATGTGGAGTCTCCCATTGCTTGAGCATCGCCTCCGCACGGTTGCGCCAGCTCTGGTCGTGGGGGGCCGTCCTCAATGCCCGAAGAGTGAAAGCCAGCACCTGTCCTATTGCGGTCAGGTGTAGCCTATTATCGCAGTTAGAACCGCTGACCCAGCCGGTGGTTTCTCCAACATCATCATTTGGAACTGAAAGATAATAGTAGACGGTGGTGGGATCGTCAGGATCCACATGGAGAAATATAAACGCTTCTCCAGTGCATAGATAGCAGTTCTCAAGACCAGCTCGGATCATATATGAAAATGGCTGAGATATACACGCAGCAACTCTCCAGCGAGCTACCTTCATGGGATCACCCTCCTCGACATTCTCGATCACTTCACCAACATCCATATCCACAAGCCCTGCCTCAATAATGCCCTTAGTGAGCTTGTGTGGTGCCTTGTATTCGATGATATAAGCCGGTATTTCTTCGTCCGAGCCGGTGTTGTAAACACAGAACTGGTCGGCACGGGGGTGAGATGATCTTGATCGTACGGTTGGAGTTTCTTGGGGGGTATCCATATCGAGCTTCTTATGCCGCTTGCGCGCCGGTGACTGCTGAGAAGAGCTAATGCCTGACTCGGTATATTTGTTTTCAGGGCTTAAAGTATTTCCATGGTTTTCAAATTGTATCTGTCCCTTGAGATTGAATAGGTTCCGGAGGTCTTGGTTGGAGTGTAGCTGTCGAATAATGCTAGACACACGATCTTCAACGGTATATCGCTGATAGTAGTGGAGATCCAGCTCAGAGCCCAGTGATCTCACCTGCAGCTCATGACTTGATTCTTTCAGCGTGTGCAAGGATGTGAAATGTCCTTCCGAAACAAAGTCGGTGGCAAAAAGATCCTCCCAGACACGCGACTGTTCCTTGGGAAATGTGGTCCATTCTCGGATTTTATCTGGACGCAGTTTGGATTCGGCATTTTCAGGATTCCCCTGAGTTCCGGTCCTGTGGTTTATACGTGAGGATAGGCCCACAGATAAATAAGTGTGGCATGCATCTAAAAATTGAGGAAGGGAAGTTGGCAGCAACTGTTTTTCTGTTTGTTGCTTTTTCTCTTCTGCCTGTCGCTGTCTTCCTTCTGCTTGTCGTTTCTCTTCTTCTGCTTGTCGTTTCTCTTCTTCTGCTTGTCGTTTCTCTTCTTCTGCCTGTCGCTGTCTTCCTTCTGCTTGTCGTTTCTCTTCTTCTGCTTGTCGTTTCTCTTCTTCTGCCTGTCGCTGTTTTTCTTCCGCCTGTCGCTTTTCTTGCCTCGCTTCTTCCAAGAGCTGGCGAAGCTCATGCTCCTGGAGCCTCCCGGAATCCTGATGGGCCATAACCAGAGGCTGAATTATCAATGATTTTCTCGCAAGTTGGGTATTGTTGATGAATTCTAGTGTTAGGACATATCAGCGTTAAGTTGATACTCGTGGGAAGTCAACAATAAATAAGTAGGAATCCAACCGCCTGAATCGTCACGTGATTATAGATGATCTTGGAGGAGAACGTTGTTATGTTGTAATCTTATCTACGCGAGTTACACTAAATGGATAGGTTGGGGTGGCACGTGACTAGGGTAGGTGTAGTAATCACCAACACCCCCCCTTGCTACGCTGTGGCCTATAAGCCGCCACCCGGGGCCTCTCCCATCCTCAAATCTTTCAAAAACACAATAATAATTAATTACATGAATCGGACCCTGATTTCCTCATTAGGAAAGGCGTCTGTACAGTAATAACTGTAAAAATCAAGAAATACATGCAAAATTCATTGATTCACTGCATCATCATTACCATTTAATCATTCCTTCTTCTCAATTTCCTGAATGTCAATCCTTTTGACAAAATCTTCAAATGCAGGCTTCGCCAGTGGCTTGATGAGGCCATCAGCTATGTTCACTGTAGAATTAACATATTTCATCATGATTTCCTCTTTTTCAATCAAATTGTGAAGAATATGATATCTGATCTTGATATAATGTGATCTTCATGTTAAGAATTCTCTCTTTGCTAGATCAATTGCTCTCTTATTATCAACTTGTAGATGTGAGTATATTTTCACTTTTTCATCATTCATTAATTCTATGTCATATAACATATTATTCAATCAGATTATCTCACAAGCTGTCTTACTAGCTGCAATATACTCAGCTTCTGTGATTAATTTAATAATAGATATCTGTCTCTGAGTTCATCATGAGATCAGTGACCTGTTAATCAATATAACATAGTCAGTAGTTAATTTGTATTGAGAATTCATCTCTACTCAGTCTGAATCACAGTATGTCACAGAACTCAGACTCTTATCACTTATCTTCTTTCTGTATAATATGTCATGGTTTTTCATCTTCTTAATATAATGTAGAACATGCTTCAACACTGCTCAACATGCTTTGTATAAATGTGAGTTAAAATGTAAGAGATAGTTGACTGTGAATGCCAGATCTGACTAGCTGCTTGAGATTAAATAGTGCAATGATCTCAATTCTTGACAATATCTTATAGCTGTAAAGTCATTATTCAATTCATCATTCTCATCAGGTGAAAATTTCAGTTATATATCAGTTATCATCACAGTGTCAGCTGATGTAAGAAGTCTACGTCAAATAGATCAGTATAATATATAGATCTTATATAATAAAGAGTGTGGTTCGGAAGAACGTACAACCGCCGGATAATAACGCGGCCGCTTCCGAACACGCTTCTGAACACGCATACGAATGTAAAGAGGCTCTAGCGGCCACTAATTATTTAGATAATGTATATAAGAAGCCGGTGTACGCCTGTAATTGTACACTGACTCAAGCAACCTTTGAATCACATCTGATAGCATGTCTAAAAACCAGTGAGAAGTACAGACTTCTTCAGAGTTTGATAATTCTATCTATAAAACAATTTATAGTTATCATATCAGTGTGATTCTAGAATGTCTCAAAAGATAGCATATAAAGAGTAGTAAGTGAAAGAGTATCTGATTAATACTGCTTTACTTGTTAAAGAAAAACTTCATACTCAGATAAATATCATATATGTGAATAGATGAGATGTAAGAAAGAGAATGAAAGTGATAAATCAGATTCAAAGAAGTTCACTTTCTACTTAAAAGAAGAATAAAAAGAGAGAAGAATGATTATCACTGAAGTTATACAATAATAACAGAAATTATATAATAATATAGTGATATAATAATATAGTAATATAATAATAGACATTGTACAATTAATGAGAAATCACTGAAATAAATATCTCTTTTAATTAATACAAATAATACTCTTCTCTGCTATCTGAACTGAAAGATATGCAGAATCTTTCAGAGAGTTTACTCAAAGCAGTAAGAAAAGCAGCTGAAACTGTCAAACTGAAATCAAAGCTTTATATACATATAAGAATTTTAAATGAAATTGATATCTTATATACATAGTGACAGACTAAGATGAAAGTTAAACAATAATTAATATTCACTGTGAATTAAGTATTTACTATAAAGAGCTTCGCTAATATAATTATTATTATCAATAAAAATAGAGAAAATCAGGTCTTAGATCTGCAGTGAAAGATTAAATATTTATATAAATAAATAACTATATTAAATCTAAAGATCTTATCATAATTATTCACAATCTCTTCAGAAGTATATATATTATCAGAGATCACTGCACAGAATGAGAATCTAAGTATGAAATATATTAAGTCAGAAGATCTGTCAGAGTTATCAAGCTTCAATAACAACTCAGGCTATGAGACAGTTATATATAGCCTGTATTACATCAGTAGCTGATTATGAAGTTCAAGTTTGATGGAATAATCAAGGGAATTTCACTGAACTCTTTCAAAGTCTGCAAAACAGAGCCTTGAGAAGAATTCTGAGAGCATTCAAATCATCTCCTATTAAAGCAATGGAAATTGAAGCTTCAATTCCTTCTTCTGCTATTAGATTTGAAAAGGCCTGTATGAACTATGCTCTGAGAGTTGTAAAGATGAGCTCAAATTATATAATCAGAGAAAGAGTCTCTTCTTCATTTTCATCAATTAACTCTGGAAATGAACTGGATTGAAATAGATTTCTTGATTGAAATGAAAATAATTCTTCAAAGAAAATGTCTTCTTAACTGTACAGACTATGCTCTCTGATTAAAAATCAATTTTCTTCTTTAAATATTGAAAAAGTTGATCATGAGAAGTTATCTCTCTGGAGAGAAAAGCTTGAATCTCTTATAGACTTACAAATAAGTGAACTATCAAAAGAGAAAGAATATGAACAGTATTTGAAGAGAATTTCTACAATCAATATAAAAGACTCTATTCTGATTTATTCAGATGACTCAAAAAATGAGAACTTGAATAGATTAGATACAGGCATTGCTTATACTGAAGATAATATCAATTTTATCTCAGATTTCTGAAATCTAGGCTGTGAATGTGAAGTCTTTGATGCTGAACTATTTGCAATAGTGAAAGCTTTCAAACTCATTGAAATAAAATCTCATAAAAGAGGAAATTGTTTGAAAGAGGCATGGATATTCTCTGATAGTCAAGCTGCTTTAAAAAGACTTAGAAATAGTCAGATTCATAATGATCAAATGAATCTTGAACTGATCTTAAACTCTGTTTTGAAAATTCAAAAGACAAGAACATCAAAGCTGATAATTCATCTGCACTGAGTTCCTGCTCATATGAATATTCATGGCAATGAATTGGCTGATTCAGCTGCAAAAAAGGGTGCAGAATTAAGCAGATCTATTCAAAAAATTATGTCCTGGTCTTTTATAAAGAGAAAAATAAAAGAATCTTGTTTAGACAAGTGAAATGAAAGCTGGCAGAAACAAAAGAAGAGTATACATTATTCAAGATTTGAAATAAAACCCAAGTGGAAATCTTGTTCAATTAAATGTAAAAAGAAAATATTCTCATCTATAATACAGCTGAAACTAGGACATGGCTATTTCAAATCTTATATACAAAGATTTGATGATAGATTTGACTCAATAGAATGCTCATTCTGCAATACAAATGAGAATCCTGAGCATATTGTAATACACTGTGCATTATACAATAGTCTCAGAGCCAGATTGAAAGAGAAGTATGATCTAAATCAATTAAATATAAGATTCTTATTCTCAACTGAGACAGGAATTAAATACTTAATAGACTTTCTATCAGAAACTCAAGCAGCTACAAGAAAATGGCTAAATTCAGAATTATCTGAATATGAAGAGGAGGAAATCAACCAGATATAGTCTGTTAAAACAGCTATATACTATCTTTTAATAATTTATTATGTTACAGTCTTTCTTTACTTTATCTTTTTCTTTCAATTTCTTTCTGTCTATCTATTTAATGTGTCTATCTTTAAGACTGTGTTCTCTTTTCCTTTGTCATGATATTGTCAAATGGTTTCAAAGTATCAGAAGATGTTAAAACACTGCAATTTATAAACAGTTTTTGTATTCTGGGCTGGAATTTTCTGATTTTGCATATCTGAAATTGACGAATGTATAATAGTTAACTTTACAGATATAGGAAAAACCCTGAGAACTAAAAGTTCTCAGGTAGATGTCATAGTCTCTGACTGCATACATCTATAATTGAAGAATAATAATAATAATAATAATCAATAACAACTGAAAAAATAATACTATAATCAGCTAACTAAGTCAGATACAATTATATTATCAGATTAAATATAAACTCACAGACAGATAGTTAACAGAATTTCAACAAGTCTTAAGATCTGCTATATTTCTATATAAAAAAGTAAAGTTATTATAAATGACTGATAAAAAGATAAATCTTACAGATCTGAAATGATATTTATTTTCATAAATATGAAATGAGTTTTTTAAATGACTCTTGTATAACTTTGAGAAAGTGAATATATAAAATAAGTATTATAAATACTTCACTGAGTGTAGATAAGTAAGTGATCTTATATTATACTTCACACACTTCAGTTTATACTATCTTATATTGAATGAAGAGCTTTCAATATCTTTCTATTTATAGATCTTTATTCATGGTCTTATATCTGAGTTAAGAGTGAAATGAAAATGCTTTATCTTATAATCAGATATAATAAAAGAAGTATACAATATTCTTATTGTATAAGAATAAGTGAGTCAATTATAATAGAAAATACTGTAATAAAGTATACTTCAGCAGAGAATAGATAATCAGACTTCTATAATATAAGTTATACACTCAGATATAATGAATCTAGATCTGAATACTATTGCTAAAGCACTGAATTCTCTGAAAAAGAAATTCTTTGAGTGAAAATCTTAATATCACAAGTATTAAGCTTACTTTAACTGTGAATGTCAAAATCATAATATAAAAGATTATACACAGTATGCACAGTCAAGAGAAGTAAGAGAGTTCAAAAACTAGCAGAATCAGTGAGCTTAAAGACAATTACTGATATTCTATAAAAAGTCTTCAAAGTGAAAGAGATGTCTGTATTAGATGATTCTCTGAATTCTATGAATATTAAGAGAAAGCAGGCTTCTGAATAAAGTACAGATAAGAATG